ACTTGTGAAAAAGGTCTAGATTCAGATGAATCATCATCGCAAACGTCTACATTCACATGGATCTACACGGCAGAGAGGTCGAGCCCCACGGAGGACTTAGACGAAACAGGAGACGGACAAAATGAGGGAAGCTGTGACGCGTTGGCGGCACAGCGGGAGTGCTGCGCTCCTGGACGCCCCCTAAATACAGGAACAACCAACCACGACCTTTCCGAGGGTAACCCTTATGTCAGGTGAGTTTCCCTTAGTATCCTCCAAGTAGTACAGAAGGAAAGATTGGAACTTTGGAGGTTGGATAGCCAACTGACAAGAGCCTTCCTCAGTATATAAGATCCGCAGAGGTCTTTCTTCTTCGTTGAGAGACCGCAACCTCTCAGGCAGGTATAGGGATCTAATCGGTCTTCTTGCAGATCCTATTTCTTAAACCACCAGTACTTGGCCCAGCTATCGGCCGCGGAAAAAAAAAAGAGTAGAAACGTTTCTAGTTGGATGAATTTGGGCGCTCCTGTAGTAGCCCGTACGTTTCCTAAAATCGTGGCGCCTTAACGGGCACGACTCTAGGAAGTACTGCAGTGGTTTAATACATTGCTGCGAGACTATCAAGAGTAAGGGCCAGATCCCACTAGCCCCTATTCTTCATTTCTGACCGTTGATCTTCGTAATCGAGGGTGAAAAATGAATAATCCAGGGTAGTGGGATCTGACCCTAAGCCTGGTAAAACATGACTCCGGGAAAGGCGCGAAGCCCTCTTGATGGGCTTAAAATCTTAGGTCAGTGAGCTTGCCAAAATGTTGTGCGATTTGTACAGAAGGGATAGATTGGAACTTTGGAGGATGGATAGCGAGCTTAGAGGTGAACATGGTGGGTTGACAGGGGGCCTCGCTCCACTACTCTCGAAATGTACAAAACGAGAGTGAATCTTCGGCTAGAACATGGAAAGATACACCGCCATAATGTTTGGCTTTTGTGCAAGTCAACAGTAGTGGAGCGACGCCCAGGCGCAGGGATTTTGGAGCGAACAAGACACAGAGAGAGAGCACCCATGTCAAGAACTGCAAAGCGTGACCTTTGAGAAAGCCAAGGTTCAGCTACGGAGCGAACAAGGCAGAGAGAGAACCCATGTCAAGAACTGCAAAGCGTGACCCCTTAGATAGGCCAGGCTCAGCTCCCAAGGCATCGGAGGAGGCATTCCGTGCCTCCAACGCCGTTGCCACCGTTGCACGTGCGAAGAACGAAATGGTCGGCGGGGGTCAAACAGAGGCGCGGAGAAGAGGAAGGCCTTATGTGACGAAGGGAAAAGAGTCGATCCTATTGCTACGATGACGAGGGTGAGCTCATCTCAAACAAGGACCGGAGGAGAGAGGAGACAAGCGAGAATAGTGTACAGGAGGAGAGAGGAGAGAGGGGGGATACGAGAGGAGAGAGGACAGGAGAGGACGGAGGAGAGTGGAGAGAGGAGACGAGAGAAAGAGGAAATGAGAGGGGAGAGAGGAGACAGGGAGGAGACGAGATGAGAGGACAGGAGAGGAGGGAGGAGAGTGAAGAGAGGAGACGAGAGAAAGAGGAAAGGAGAGAAGAGAGGAGGACGATGGAAGAAGGAGACAAGGACATGGCAGTATACTGCACTGCAATACACGAGGGAAGCTGAGAAAGGAAGAGAGGAAACGTCGCGGAAGTGACTCGCTGGGATATCGAGGGGGACCACGATCTTTGCAGGGGTATATTGGTAAATAGTTCAAACGACACAGTACACAGACAAAACAAACCTCCCGGTAGAGGAGGAGCAGGGGGCCTGCGCAAGGAGCATGAACATAGCAGATACGTTAATCAGCCGATGTACATGCGTACTATATATATCGTCGCATGCACATGCGTACTATATATAATATATATATATAAATAGAACTCCGAATAACAGCCCGATTAGAGGAGGTTTGATTGGTTCAATCCAGGAGATATCAGAACACAGTACACACATCTTCCAGGCCAAACAAAAAAAAAAAAAAAACGGAATTGAAGGAACAAGTTATCGAAAGGGTGGGAGAAAGAGAGAAGGAGAAGGGCGGAGGGACGGAGGGAGGGAAGAGATAACATAAGGAGAGGGAGAAGGAGAGAGGAGAGGGAGGGGCACAGTATACATGAACAGTCCGCAGGAGAAGTCGCCAATCCTATGCAGGAGCGCACTTCGACAGCCAGCAATGAGAAAATTCAAGGGTACGGAATTCCTCTTACGCACGTTAGTCCATACGGCGATCACCCACCATCCTATCGACGATAACGGTGGTCATGAGAGCGATGGCGATCGAGATGATAAAACGGCCAAACAAGAAAGCAGGAAGAACAGCAAAGGAGTCACAAACGGACAAGGATGAGGACGAGGAGGACGAAGGGAAGACGAAGAGGACGACGGCGACGGGGAGGGAGGGCGGGGCGGAGGAGGAGGAGAAGGACACAGGGAGGAGGGGAAAGACAACGAGGAGGGAGGAAGAAGAAACTGATGAGGAGGAGGAAGATCAACCATGACTAGGACGAAGTAGGAAAAAGAAAGAAAACCACGCGAGTCAGGAGGAGGAGGGAAAGGAAGAGGAGAACGAGGGCAATGATTGAGAATTGGTCCTGACAGCAAGCAGGAGGACATGGACATGGCAAAGGACGAACAGGAAGTGGAGAAGATCACCGACGATAAGGACTGAACGGTGGTGGTGGTGACGATGATGATGGTGATGGTGATTATGATGATGATGAGGAGGAGGAGGAGGAGGAGGAGGAGGATAGGGAGGAGGAGATGATGATCGTGATGATGATCATGAAGAGGAGGAGCAGGGGCAGAAGAAGAAGCAGAACAACAATGACCACGAAAAGAGCATGGAAGATTTCACCGGCGACNCTGATCATATGGGCTTCCACAAGATGTTGGCTCATCTGAGCCGCCTGTACGTCTGGCCGAAGCGCAAGAACTTTGTGAAGGACTACGTCGCAAAGGTCCCACCTGTCAGGAGGTGAACAGTGCCTGTCTCTTATACACATCTAGATGTGTATAAGAGACAGCATCAACCCTTTTTTCGGGGGGGGGAAGAGGGAAGAATCAGGAGCAAGACGGAGGATAAGAGGATGGAGAAAATACAGTAGTTGTAAGAGAAAGGGCCTCGCCGCACCACTCGCCAGTCACGTTTGCCTCGTGTGCGCGGCCTCGCGGCACACAATTCACACTCGTAACACGAACACACACTCACCTTGCAACATGAACAGAAACACAAAACCTGGTTCTGGAGTGAGAGTGGCGTTTCAGGCTTTCAGTACTTACCAAAGATTTATACCGTAGTCGTTCGCGCCTCAACAACGTGCACGTGGATGGAGAAACGAAGCCGAAGTTTTGGCTTGTGGACGCCTATGTAGACCGTACTATGGGGATTGAAGAGGGAGAACACTGCAACGGCTTGCTTGGGCAAGTACAGTGTACACCCTTGCAAATTGACCAGGAATGCCGCACTGCTTAGCACGTACACTGTTGGTGTAAGGAGGGACAGCCACTCTTTAGTCGCTCCACAGCACTGACGCAAAACGGTGCATTTCTGGATTTTATGCGTGTCACCCTTCCGCACGGGCCATGCTAATCTTCTCGCGAAGGACGCCCGAAACTGAGCGGGCTGTGTTCGTTGAGCCGACAGAAGGGGTCTCGCTGCACTACTCTCGACATGCGCAAAAAACAAAAATTATGGCCGTGTATCTTTCCATATTCTAGCGGAAGATTCACTCTGGTTTTGCACATTTCGAGAGTATTGCAACGAGGCCCAACGTCTCCCTCGGAAAGGATGTAAGTACGCACTATATTGGCCCTCTCATTTTGTGTTTTGGAGTCTCTGTCGAAGAGGGACCCTGGACCCGGTCCCAAAAGCCTACAGCTGGGTAATGGCCCGAGCATGTGTTGTACCGGGTTGTATTGTCGGGGTGTATTCCCGGGCCCCTGTCTCTCTTATGGTAATAAAGAAGTACTTGTCTCCAAAAAAAAAAAAAAAAAAAAAAAAAAAAAAAACATACGGACCCAACAGCCTACCTCAGTGGGTACACCCATGAACTGTTGAAATACAGACACGTGCCCAAATCCAGATGATGAAACTTGACGAGTAAAACCAACTACTAATGAATTGCTTTTGGGGCCGGTCAGCTCAATGATAATATCTTTTGTTTTAATTATTAAAAAAAAAAAAAAAAAACACATACGGTTTAGGTTACCCACCTCTGGGGCGTGGTCCCACTAGCAAAATCGAGATTGAACTGCTTTTCTGCATCTCTGCAGAAAACACATCCAGATTCAGGCATTCGATCCGATCCTCTTTGCTAGTGGGACCTCGGCCCTGGGGCCCAAGTCCGACTTTGGGGAATTCTCAATTTGCGTCAATAGATTACGAAGATCGACGGCCAAAATGAACGATCGGCGTAGGTGGGACTCGGCCCCGGCTGGATCCAAACTGAGAGCACGCTGCACTACTCTCGACATGCACAAAAGACAAAAATCATGGGGGTGTATCTTTCCATAATCTAGCGGAAGATTCAGTCTCGTTTTGCACATTTCGAGAGTAGTGCAGCGAGGCCCTATTTCTGGACGGAAGTGCCGTCAGATGCATACACGTCCGGCCGTAACTGCGATCAGATGCTAAGGGCCTCGCCACACAGGCTGTCGAAATGTGCAAAACGAGAATGAGCTTCACGCTAGAACATGGCCAGATGCACCTGCCACATTTTTGTCGTTTTCGCGTTTCGACAGGCTGTGTGGCGAGGCCCTAAGACAGTTCTAGTGTGAATACGCCCTGAGCGGGCGCAAGAAAGTGGGAAAAGAAATAACGGAGAGGTCTGGCCATGTGGCTGGTGAGCTTTTCCGCCCGTACAGAGTGCACTCACACGTCGTGCTCCGCCCGTTCAGAGTGAACTCGCACGTCCTGGGGTCAAGTCCCACTGGTAGCAGTGTTGAGTTTCCTAAACGCCCGAATCTGGACCTGTTTGTGGAGACGGGCGGTTGAGGAAGCTCAACGCGATTTCTGCACGCGTCCACAAAACGCGTCCAGATTCGGGCTGCTGGAGCAGGGTTACATTAGCGCAGCAAGCGTACACAGGTGTGACCTGTGTGGGACAGAGTGCGGCACATGTGGGACGACAGGACAAGTAACCGAGCCTCCCGCTCCACAACCCACCAAGGGCCTCGCCACACCACTGTGCCCCTCTCTCCACAACTCACCAAGCGCCCACCACAGTGAAACGAAAAACAAAATAATAGGCATTTGAAGAAGTCGAGCCGCCACCTCACATATTTTTAACTGCCCTTCCCCTCGCTCCACCACTCACCAAGGGCCTCGCCACACCATTCTCGAAAGGAAAAATATACGAGTGCATCTTCCTGCACAGAATGGCACGATGCGTCCGTTTCCATGAGTAGTGAGTAGCGACGGATGCATCGTTCTTTCTTCGTTCGTTTTGACAGTGGTGTGGCGAGGCCCCAGCTGTGCAAAATTGCTAAAAAAAATGAAGTCCGGTGAGGCCCCTTCGTTTCCGCTTCATCCTCCCGTCCCCCCCACGCGGCTGTCAGCAATGCTCTCGGACAAAAAAAAAAAAAAAAAGATATGCGGGCCGTAAAAAAAAATTATTTTTTATTCTTGCCTTTTCCGGTCTCTCTGCCACGTGGCTCGCAGGCATGAGATCTTTGATAGAGTGCTCACGCCCTCAATGCACTACACATGAAAAAACAAGCAAACCACAAAAACTCGCGAGCCCTCAACATAGTGCGTGCGCCTTTTTTCGTCATTTCTGGCTGGCTGCGACACCCTTGTTGGTCTAAAGGACATACTCAGGGCATACTCACACTAGCACGTACGACTTGAGCGGGTGAGGATGGAATAGGAGAGAGAACGCAAAGCGTCGCCAAAGCCTGGAAGATTGCACACGTAGTCATGCATCACGCACACACACACAGATACACTCTTCATAGGCATGCAGCCCAAACGAGGGGCCAGAAAAATCGTTAAATAAGTCTTTAAGCTCAACCATCGCCAGCGTCCCATCACCCTTCTTCTCTACAGAATCATCGTCAATACTCGAGCTTCCAATCCTCACGCTGGCGCTTCTGGCAGTTCCCAACGTGTTTCAACCGGCGCCAGATGCCAGCATCATCAGGGGTAGGCGGCCCTCTTCGGTAGAAAAGGATGGTGGTCAACTGTCAAGTACAGCTGACGCCGTCTGACCTTTCAGGGCCTTCGTCCCCACAAACCGTCCCAGTACTCGGGTAAAAAATTCCCTTGGGTAGTTCAACAGCCTGAGTTCCCTGCTTAGCGAAAGAAGGGGTACTTCCGCCAACTCCGTTGTCTAGTTCAACAGCCTGAGTTCCGTGCTTAGTGAAAGAAGGGGTACTTCCGCCAGCTCCGTTGTCGACGCCCGGATTCGAGCTAGTGCGCTATTTATGACTCCCTTTTTCTGCTTATTGTCTGTAGCGGAGACCAGAGCCCCTTGGCCTGTTCTCACAGGCCTGTGTTGTATTCGGGGCAGTCCAGTCCAGGCCGGTACCTCTGTTGGTACCAGCCAGTCCAGTCCAGTCCCGTCAGTCCGCTGGGGTATACCCCAGCTGTTGTATGTTTTCCGATTCATTCTGCATTCGCACAGTTTGGAGTACCATGGGAGCTGCGCTGTGCCATCTCGCTCCCCTTCTTCCTCCATCTCCATCTCTGTCCCAGGCGGAGCACCACACCTGATGGGTCTGCCACACTGGTATCGGAGTGGGAACGTTCCCCGCTCCCCCCCACCCACCGCACAGCAAGGAAAACAGCAAAACCCCGACAGTGGTTTTTTCGCCGTTTTTCGGGCGGTTTTCAGCAAAAACGAGGGGGGGAAAAAAAAGGTGCAGCGGGAAGCGGCCACGTGGTGAAAAAGGGAGTCCCCACCCACCGCACAGCAGGGAAAACAGCAAAACCCCGACAGTGGGTTTTTTGCTGTTTTTCGGGCAGTTTTCAGCAAAAACGAGGGGAAAAAAGCAAAGGTGCAGCGGGAAGCTGCCACGTGGCAGAGTGTTGTCACGACGCGTGCGCCAAGGCCGCCGCACACGCACACGCCACATGGCAAAAAAGGCAAAGGCCGCCGCACACACACGCACCAAGTGCCCACGCTGCCCCCCTCCTGGATTTATATTATCAAGATTTGGGATCTTGCTGCAACTGGTGTTTGAACCCAGTCAGCTCCTGGGTTTGTACATGCATGGCTGCTCTCATAACACACTCACAATACTGTACATATAGCTTTGTAGTGTGGCACGTTGCTGTTGAAGAGGTGCGTGCCAGCTATTTACCCCCCCCCCCCCCGGCCGGCGAGCAGCGACCAGCAGGGCAGCAACGGTCGGGCTGTTATTTGCCCCCCCCCCCCGTGGCTGCATCCACGTGGCAGTCTGCTATGAAGACTGAAGACCCTCCTGGCTAGGGGGTTGCGCCACATTATTTTTTTTTGTACTATTTTTCTACTGCTGCAGCAGCAGTTTTGCAGCAGCTCAAGCCTCCCCCCTTGGGTAGGGGGCTGTGTGACTGTGGCAGTAGGGTGGCTGATCAAGATCTCAGCCAACCCTAGATCATCATCATCATCCTGTTATTGTTGTGGCATCAGGCCAGCAGCACCTTGAAGGCCAAGATCCTGCGGATCTTGGTAGTGCTTTGCTCTTGGCCAACCAAGAGCTTGGTATTATCTCTCTCCACTAACCTACCCTCCCCCAACCCTTTTCTCTTCCACCCCCATCATCTAATCATCCTTTCTAACTCTACCACTACCCCCCCTCCTCCCACCCCCCTCTTCACTCATCTCCCACCACCTTTTTCTCTCCTCTCCTCCCCACTCACCACCTTCTACTAATCTCATCTCCCCCATCTCCCACTTCACTTCTTTCTCTCTCACCTATTTCTCTCTTCTTTATCACTCTTTCATCCCCTTGCCCCCCTCTACTTCGAATTTTTTTGTTTTTCTACTTTTCCCTTTCTCTTTGATTTCAATCTTCTCTTTTTTCCAAAAATTTGAATTATCTTATTTCCCCCCCTCCCTTCTCATTTTCTGATTTATTTTATTTTTTCTTTTAATTATTCTGAAAATTCAAATTTATTTGCGGCACCCTTAAACCCCCAGTACCCTCCGGAGCACTCTGCCGAATCTTTTTTTTTTCCATGCGACGAACCTCTTTGTCTCATGGGAATACAGCTGATACGTAGTCGTGATATGGGGAGCTATCGGTCCCTCAGCACGGGCGACCAATACTTCTGTGCTGGTTTTTTTTTTTTTTTCCGTTTGTTTTTCCCCTTCTTTTATTTTTTTATTCCCGTGGTTTTCCTTTTTCCCCATTGAGCACTCTGCTACTGGCAGAGGAGCCGTAGAAGGCGTGAATAGGGGACTCATTGTCAGTAGAGTGGGCAGCAAAAAAAAAAAAAAAAAAAAAAACGAGATAGGGAGCTGGAGGCCACGAGGAAGTTGAGGCCTCGCTCCACTACTATCGAAACATGGGGTGTATCTTTCCATGTGCTAGAGGAAGATTCACTCTCATTTTGCACATTTCTATAGTAGTGGAGAGAGACCCTTGTGCTCACACACGTGCTACTTCGAGATGCATCTGCCCACGTGCTACTTCGAGATGCATCTGCCCACGTGCTACTTCGAGATGCATCTACCCACAACCATGGCCAGTGGCGTATTAAGTTTTTTTTTTCCTTTTGTTTTTTAGATTTAGGGTCTGGCTGCACTACTCTCGACATGCATAAAAGACAAAAATATTGGTCGTGTATCTTTCCATATTCTAGAGGAAGATTCACTCTTGTTTTGCACATTTTGAGAGTAGTGCAGTGAGGCCCTTAGTCAAAGCACCCTGCCAACGATGCAGGCGCTTTCCACGGAAAGCTGACACTTGCAACCAACGGGGCTTTCTCACCGTTACTCACAGAGAGTCACATGTTCTGTATCTGTCTGCTTTCACGTCCAGAGAGTGAGAGTCTTTTTTTTTTTTTTTTTTTT